TATTGTATTTTTGAACATTGGTAAGAGTATAAGTCTTAAAAAGTTCTCATCTAAAGAAGAAAGTTTATAACTATGTGTGGTAATGAATGTTAAGTAAACCTTACTGTGGTAGTCATTTTACAATATAAAATGCCTAATCATTATGCTGTAGTCCTAAAACTGAAACCTTACATGTAGTTTGAATTCAATAGTTGTTATATTGTTTTCAAGTTTAAAATGTACATTAATTTAAAAAAGTACTAAGAAGAGTTCATATTAGAAAAACAAGATAATGGATCCATCATGAAACAAAAGATTTAGTGTTGTATGATAAAAAAAAAGAGAAATATTAAGTTTCCAAATATTAGGAAAAATTCACCTAATTCCGAAGTCCACCTACTTACATGGCATAATAAACCCCTGTGAGAAGTTGCACCATAAATTCGGGATCCAATACTATTCGACCACAGAGTTCTTTCCAGTGTTTTTCTTGTTGCCGTGGAAACCCACTCACACAAACCCTAGGAAATATAGTATTTATCATGAGTGATTTCTGATGTCATTGAATCAAATATTTTGCTTTTATAAATTCATTTATTCAGTTATTTGTTGCTCAAACATTTATTAAATACAGTCACTACTTACCAGTCACTGTCCTGAGCCTAGGTATACAGTTGTGAACAGGTAAAAATAAAAAAAATAAAACCTGTGCCCTCATAAAACATACATCCTAGTGGGCCGTATTGATAAAAACAATTTTACTCAGATAGCCAGGTCTTTCAAATTCATCCTTCTCTCTCTTCACAAAATAAATGAATAACTTTCCCATATTCCAAATTTTATCAGGATGAAATAGTGAGAGATACAGAAATCTCAAAGTAAATAAAGGGATATTTCAAACTACTGATGTCTGTGAGACCATTTTTAATCAAAGTACCATAAACAATCCTCTACCTGCCATCTCCTTAGAAGATGCTTCAGGAAATGATGCTTAATAATTATCAAAAACTGTAATGTACCTATGTTCTTTTAATGAATTAATTTATTGGAATAACTATCATGGTGAGCTAAGAGAAATATTTTCATTTTTAGTACATCATAGTATCAGGAATTCTTTTCAAAGTTCAGTTTACATATACATATTTTTGTAGCAGAGACATATAATTAGGTGATCAATAATAGATTTTAAAGTATAAAATAGCATTATATTAGCATAAAATATGTAGGTAAAATATAATGACATTCAATTTCACAAAGAAAAATGAAAAATACAGGTTGGGGCAAAAGTAGGTTTACAGTTGCTTGTATGTAAAAATAATACAATAATTAATTAATAATAGTACAAGAATAAACTGTTTCACATTCTCACAGCTGTAAACCTATTTTTGCCCCACCCTGTATAACATCAATCTATTAAAGAAAAGCTTGTTCATTTATTCCTCAAATGGGTGATGGGTATCAGATCACTGCAGTATTTACATTATATACATTTAAAACACTGGCTAGCCTGTGAATCACAGACTTTCAGTTTTAAAAGATGGCTCAGTGGTTGAGCATCGACCTATGAACCAGAGATCATGGTTCAGTCCAGGTCAGGGCACATGCCTGAGTTATGGGTTTGATCACCAGTAGGGGCCTTACAGGAGGCAATTGATCAATGATTCTCATCATTGATATTTCTATCTCTCTCTCCCTTTCCCTTCCTCTCTGAAATCAATAAAAAAACATATTTTTAAAAATTGATCCAACCTCTACTAGTCTTATTATGCAAAATTTACTGAATATTTGCTATTATTTAAGATAGAATGAAAAATTATAAATATTAACTTAAAAAACCAAAATAGTCATTTATAAACAAACTAGAGGCCCAGAGCATGAAATTCGTGCATGGGTAGGGTCCCTAGTAGCTGCCGGCTGCTGGCTGGGGCCTCCCTTCCTCTGGCTGCCTGCATACCACCACCAGCTGGGCCTCCCTTCCCCCCACACCGCCTCCTGGTGATCAGTGCACATCTAACTCCCAATCGGTCAAACTCCTGCCTGTGGGGACAATTTGCATATTAGCTTTTTTTTATATAGGATTTATCTGTAGATAGGCAATAAGTGCTTAAACAATGTATTCTCTTGATAACAGTATCTAGGTTAGAGATAAGAACTTTGTTAGTCATTAATTATGTTATTACAGGTAACTGAAAATAACAAACTTATTTTAAGATCATCTATAAAATCAAACTTACAACTAACTTGGATTGGTCTCCCTCTTTGTGAGTATGGGTGAGACCTGTGATTTGTTTCTAATCAACAGAACATGAAAGGTGATTGTGTTATTTAAGAATGTAGTGCAGGTCTCCTTTCACCCTTCTGCTTTGAAGAAATAAGCTGTCCTGTTAAAGGCAGCGGATGCTGAGAGGCCCACAGGGCAAAGAACTAAGACTGGTCCTTGGCAGAGTCAACAAGACATTGAAGCCCTCAGTCCTACAACTACAGGCACGAAATTCTGCCAACAAAAGTATATAATTCCTCATCCGAGCTTCAGAAAAGACTGAAAATCCAGCCAACATCTTAACGGCAGCTTTGTAAGACCCTAAGCAAAGGACCCAGCTAAACCATGCCTAGACTCCTGACATACTGAAACTACAAAATAATGTGTGCTGTTTTCAGTGCTAAGTTTGTGGTAATTTGTTATGAGGCAACAGAAAACTAATACAGCATTTAACCCCTTTCAGAGGCTCAATTTCCTCAGGTAAAAATCAGTTGAGCCATGGCTGGGTATCTCAGAGGGTTAGAATGTCGTCCCAATATACCAAGGCTGTGGGTTCAATCTCCGGTCAGGTAACAGACAAGAAACAACCAATGAATGCATAAATAAGTGGAACAATAATTACATGTCTGTCTCTCTCTCTCTCTCTCTCTCTCTCTCTCTCACTCTCTTTCCCCCCACCTCCTCCCTCCCTTGATACCTCCCTCTTTTTATAAAAATCAATAAATAAAAATAAGAAGAAAATCAGTTGAACAGGATGAACTCATGGTTCCTTCTATAGCTGAAATTCTGTGACTCTAAATGTCCTGTCTCCAAACTGATTTTTATTACTTAAACTTCCTTTCTATAGTAAATATTTAAATTTCAACCCAGGTCTGTCCAAATTATTAGAAATTCTTATTTAGTAAAGATTAAAGAACACAAATATAAATGAGACATATAATTGGTACTATTACTAATTTTCTTATACAAAGCAGAGATAATAATTTGTGAAATATATAAAGAAAAGGATTCACATTCCTTAAGACTTTCTTTACCTATGGGACTATTTATTCAAAGCTCTCAAAGTGATTAGGTATATCAATAAACCACTCTAAGATTAAGACATCTTTGCATTTCTTGATGTTCAGATAAAAAATACTTTTTTGATGCTGAAATATTTTCAAGAAGATGCTTGAGAGATAAGGATTCCTACAGGAATATAAGCTCCATGAGTTTTATTTACTGCTATATCATCATAAGTTAAAATAGTACCTACCATAAAGAATATGCTCAGTAAATATTTGTCAAATAAATAAGATTATAATAATAATGATAATTATTTTTCTCACCTGGAGCCCATCCGACAAAGAGATTGATAAGATGAAGCAGGCATATACACAATAGCAGAATTGTAACACAACATAAGAAAACTCAGGACTTCAAACCTACGAAAAACAAAAAGGAGTGGAAAGGATTATAAACAATCACTTCTGTTAGACACTGTGGTAAATGATTTCTTCATTATAACAACAATGCCTTGACATTACTTTCATGATTTCTCAATCAGATTACTATAGTCTCTTCATCAATATTCCCCATATCCATTCCTAATGTAGATGACTGCCCTATCTACATTAGCCCACTGTTCCTACTGACTGCACGATAAAATCCAAACTCATCATGGCACACAGGTCCTTTAAAATCCACCCTCAACCATCCTCTCTAACCTTACCCTACCTCCACTGCCTACCACATACACTGTCTACATCAGTGATGGTGAACCTTTTGAGCTCGGCGTGTCAGCATTTTGAAAAACCCTAAGTTAACTCTGGTGCCGTGTCACATATAGAAATTTGTTGATATTTGCAACCATAGTAAAACGAAGACTTATATTTTTGATATTTATTTTATATATTTAAATGCCATTTAACAAAGAAAAATCAACCAAAAAAATGAGTTCGCGTGTCACCTCTGACACGCGTGTCATAGGTTCGCCATCACTGGTCTACATTAATATTCTCACCACTCCATGAATATGCCATAACCTTTCATAAAAACTTGCTTTTATACATACTGCTCTTCTTTACTAGAACATCCTTAGAAAACTCATGCTAACGTCTCAGGTCCTAGCTCAAATTTTTACCTTAGACATAAAGCTGTTCTTAATTCTCCCAACTGAAGGAAACTATTCCATTCCCTTATCTGTGTAGCACTAATATAGCATTTATCCCATTGAATCATCATTCTCCATCTTTTCTCTGTTTTACCCATTTGGTAATAACTTTAGACCCCGATATATTCACCTCTACCTCTAGTGTCCAACACAGTGTCTAACACATTGATACTATAATAAACATTTGTTAAAGGGATAAAGAATGCTTTCCTGCCAAAACCGGTCTGGCTCAGTGGATAGAGCATCAGCCTGCGGACTGAGAGGTCCCGGGTTCGATTCCGGTCAAGGGCATGTACCTGGGTTGTGGGCACATCCCCGGTGGGGGATGTGCAAGAGGCAGCTGATCGATGTTTCTCTCTCATCGATGTTTCTAACTCTCTCTCCCTCTCCCTTCCTCTCTGTGAAAAATCAATAAAATATATTTAAAAAAAAGAATGCTTTCCTAATCTTTACAATGTCTAAGAAAGTGGCTCCTAAACCTGGAACAGATTATAGTTATTTAAGGACCTTTTGAAAAAATATATTCCTGTATGTCAACCCAAATAACCAACAAGAGTCTCTAGGGCAGGACCCGAGGGAATTTGTACTTCTAAAAAGCTTCCCATAGATGGTGAAATTTTTTGTACCATTTTTCAACATTTTTTGTAAGTCTGAAATTATTTCAAAATGAAAAGCTAAAAACTGAGTTGTAAATCTGACTCAGAAGCAGTCAAATGTTCAGATCTTTTCTTCTCTATGTTACCTGGTTTATTGTAGGTTTCTTTTCTGAAATTTAAGATTTCTTTTCTCAAAGAAGAAAAAGGATATTTCTACCGAGAAACCACCAGGCACAATTGTGGTTTAGGGAGGGGGTTGGAGGGGGAAGACACCTTACTGAACACAGGAACATTAAGTGAAACAAACCTTACTGGAAATCAAGACCTCAGGCTCTCCTTCCCCACTTGGCCACCAGAATGCTAGCAGCTAGCCCTCTATTTACAGACTAGACTTTTCTCTAGGGAACCTGACCTTAAGAAGAAAGATTTAAAGATATGAACTTAGAAAGTTCCCCAACTGAACAGCCCAGTGAGAAGTTATATGAAGTTCATGGCCAACTAGCCCTATTAATGTGGTTAAAGCTTCTCAATTTTATTCTCCTACTCTTAAATATATGGGAGAGAAAAGACATCTGAGGAATTCCACTAACAAAAAATGAGACCAAAATAAAAAATAGAAAAAAAGTACAATTTAAAGGAAACAGAATACACAAAAAGAAAAAAAAAAACTTTGAATAAGGCAAATTATAATATTCTCAAAAATATAAAAGATGTTTCAAAAAAACTCCAAACACACCACTTAAACAAAATCAGTATTTTAAAGACCATTCAGAAAGCAAGAAAAACTTTTAGATATACAAAATATAATTGCAGACATTAAAAACTCAAAAAAAGGACTGACAAATGAAGTTAAGGATATAAGTAAAGTAAAGCAAAAGAAAAAAGATATGGCCAACAAGAGAGAAAAGAAGACTATTCCAGGACAATTATTACTGTCCACAGTTTTTACCATTACCGATTTTGTGCAGTGAATGTTTCCCTCTGAGGATGAAGATCACTATAAACAACCCTGATGAGGTCATGCTGACACAATGCCCCTTCAGTCAAAGCCATGGATCCAATTGTTGAGGGCTATAAAAATAAGGTAAAGTATGAGACTGTGTCTCTAAAATGAAGTAAAAATCTGTATCACATAAAGATATTTGTTTCAAAAAAGGGCAGTTTCACACCATTTCTTCTCTTTCAAAACCCTTTCCATTTTTCAATTATACACATTCTATGGCTCTTTTTGAAAATTATATACATATATATACACACACACACACACACACACATATAATGTATAAAAATAAAAGAAGTTGCTGAAAAGACTAAAGGTTACAAATATGTCCATTTCAATTTGTTTGTACTCTACAACATGAGCAGTCTTGGGGACTGTGCATTCATACTAAGTACTCTCATTAATCCCATTCTATAATGGAGACAGCAAGGTGTAGAGTACTATAATTATAAAACACAAACAATATTGAAGGCTATGATCAAATGTCTCTTTAATAGTGACATAATTGATTTCATGTTTCTATAGTTAGAACCATCCATTCATAAATGTTTCACTATCCTCCATTTTATTTCATAATATGATTCACAGAACTTAATTAAAATTAAATTACTCAGAAATATTCTAAGCTCAAATGAGTCCTGGGCTAAATAGCAGACATTCTATTTCCCAGAGGACATCATTAAGAAAAAAAAAAAAAGCTATGAGACAACAGGATATTGAGTGTTGATAAGAAAATGGAATATAATTTTTAGACTACTGGTAAAGCTTCTTTAAATGCTTTCCTCACGACTTTATGCACTAAAAGCCACCTGAGGTCAGAAGCTTGATTCAGAACACATATCCTTAAAGAGAGGAGGCAGAAGGAGTTCAGCTCAACAGAAGTCATCTACTTGTATAATAAGCATTGTTCTCATATTGTTCATCCAAATAAATATATGCAAAAATCAGAAGTGGAATGTTAGTGAACAGCTGGAATGCATCAACTAGAATTCTTTAAATGGAAATATAATCATTACAGTGGTAATATTCTTCTAAGTAGCCATTTTCCTAAAAAATAACCCCCCCAAAATAAATAAAAAAATAAAACCCAATCAAACATAGATGATTTCTAATTACTACTGAAGACTTAAAAAAATTAAAGAATATGGTATATCAAATTTAATTGAAAAATAAAAATGATTTAAAGAATATTTTTGAAAACTCATAAAAAAAAGATTAAAAATGATACTGGTGAAGAATCCAAAGAAACAAGAACTAGAAGAAAATTACCCATTAATTATTTTCTGCCTCTCTTGACAACAGCTCAACTTTATATCACTAATTGGAGGCCTGTTTTTATGCACTGATGGGGTCCCTCAGCCTGGCCTTTGGGGATCAGGCTGAAACCAGCTCTCCGACATCCCCAAGGGGTCCTGGATTGTGAGTGCAGTTCTCGGGTGATGCACCCCAGAATCGGGCTCCCTCCTCTCTGGTTCCAGGGTGCATCACCTGAGAACCGCCACTGCCAAGTCACCACAGCTTGGCAGCTCCTGCATTGAGTGTCTGCCCCTTGGTGGTCAGTGCGCATCATTACTACCGGTCAGAAAGTCACTTAGCCTTTATATATATATATATATATATATTGATAACAAACATCTACTTTTAATAAGTAAATCAATAAAGATGTGTTAGGAATATTTACCTCTGGTAAGAGACTGACTTTATATCTTTATTCAGTATACTTTTAAATAATTCTACCTTTCCAATTTTACTTACCTCATGGTATATTGAAGGCTTAGATAAAGAAGGGATAGTAAAAGACAGAACTTTGTTGTTTCCATCTTTATCAGCAATTTCCTAGTTAAAAAAAAATACAAAGATAATGAAATAATCACAGGACTATTAGAAATAATAATAACTTTCTTAATTTACCAAACATATCATTGGTAACTGAGGAAGATGTTTAGAAATAGTAATATAAATAAAAAAACTGCCTAGCCGGCATGGCTTAGTGTTTGAGTGGCCATCTATGAACCAAGAGGTCACGGTTTGATTCCTGGTCAAGGCACATGCCCAGGTTGCAAGCTCGATCCCAGTAGGGGTTGTGCAGGAGGCAGCCAATCAATGTTTCGCTATCTTTCCCTCTCCCTTCCTCTCTGAAATCAATAAAAATATATAAAAATTAAAAATAAATTACTACCCTAATTTATCTTTGTACACTTTGGTGGTTGAATTATCCTTTGAGAGATTTTAGTGCAATACTAAGTTAATCAAATACAACATGACAGCAAAGACATGAAGGAAGCAGGCACACAAATCAATTTTCATGTTTAATTTATACACAGGGCAGGGAGATTACAAGTGATTAGATCTTTAAATAGAAACATTAGTTCTTTGAGTCAAACAAATTAAAGGCCTTAGGCAAGAGCTCCATAATTATTAAAATAAGAAAAACACTATTCTAACACAGAATGAATCTTGACTAAAAGAAACTCTTAAAATTCTTCAGCAATAAACTAATGACTTCAAATAAGCTACATATTAACATAATTATTAGTCTAAGTAATTAAAAATAAGTTCATATTTAGGTCATTCTTACTCAACTACAAGAAAAGTCTTGTGAATTTTAAAAGCATTTTATCTTTCAATGAAAAGGACAATGTACCCATCATTTTTACATCCAATCTTCTATAGATATCAATAAAAATCTGCCTACAGTAGCCAGGGGTGAAATGCTCTTCCTGCATCACTCCCTTTCTCTACTGCCTCATTTGTCTATATTTCTTTTACACTTCATATTAGTATACATAACAGGCATAATCATAGAGAAGATTGACCTTGTTAGACCTGGGAAGGTGGTCAGAGAGAGACTAAGTAGTTAAACAATATGAAAGGAAGAAACAACTATAAAAATAACTACCATCACCAAAACACAAACCCAGAACATCCCTATGGGGCTCATTTCTGAGTTTTATGTCATAGGATAGTACCAATTATATGTGAACAATGGTCCTACCTATAATTTTGGCAGGAAAAGGGCTTTAAAAATTCCTTAGAGAGCCAGGCTGGTGTGGCTGTGTTTGAGTGACCTATGAACTGGGAGGTAGCAGTTAAATTCCTGGCCTGGGTTGTGGGCTCGGTCGCCAGTGGGGGGCCATGTGGGAGGCATCTGATCGGTGATTCTCTCTCATCGATGTTCCTGTCTCTCTCTCCCTCTCCCTTCCTTTGTGAAATCAGTAAAATACGTATTTTTTTAAAATTCCCTAGAGAGATCATTTATCTACTTTGTAGTCAAACTAGTTACCACTACATCTGGGCTATTGTGCCTCAGAGAGAAAGTTTATGCTAAGATGAATAGACATGATTTAAGTTAGGCAATAAAATTTTAATTTTTATTCCTAAATTTTAAATTAAGCCAAATACTTCTGATCTACATTTGTGAGTATTTGTGGAGAAGTGTGTTCTGAAATTTGTTTAAGCTGAGGGCAATATAAAACTCTTCTCGAGGCTATCTTAAACAAGAGAGAAGTGCTAGGGAAGGAAAGAAAAAAGAGAAATAAGTATATAAAGAAAAACCAGTGTGGTAAGAAGAAATGAGAACCACAGAAAAGAGAGAGCAGATATCAAGGGAATTAAAAGATAGAAACCTGAGGTTGCATTTCTGCATAGAATTGAGCAATATTTTTATAGTACACTATTTTTGAGATGCCAAAATTAAACCACAGCATCAACTATTGTCAAGAACTTGTCAAGCATTCTGATATACAAAATATTTGCTTCATTTGTCCCACTACTAAATTTTATTACCCTAATCAAATTAATAAAAGTAACAGCATAATGTTAAATCTAATCTAATACACCAAATTCAATTATTAAATCACTAAACACTTACTACCTGTACAAATCAATAGAGGAGACACAATGATATATGAAACAAATTTCCTACTTTAAAAAAACAGTATCAGGCAAATTAGCAAGAGAATTTTATATCAAGACCAGCTTTTCATTTAAAAAAACTCATCTTCAATTATGATACAGCTAATAATCATAATAATTAAAACACCACAGGCACCATGCTGGATTTTTCTACTTGTTTTTAATCCTATAATAATGTTCTATTTCTGTTTTACATATGATGCAACTGAAGTCAAGATATTAAGTAACTTGCCCAAATTTATGTGTACTATGTTCCTAGTTTTATGCACGTATGTGAGCATATGTACCTAACTGGGATGTTTTTCTATTTGTTTCTTAACCAAGTAGAATCACATTATACACATTTTGCAGTTGCTTTTAAAAAAATATATTGTGGACATCTCAAACTTGTAAAAAAAAAAAAAAAAAAAAAGAAACTTGCCCAAATTTAAAGCAGCCAACAAGTGGCAGGGCCTGGTTTTAAACAAAATATAAGTGTTCTAGTGATGCAAATGTTTTCTAATGACTTTTGAAGGGGCAATACTTAGAGCAGCAAGCACTGGTTCAGAAGAATATTATTTATTGTGAGGTGCAGTGAACTGGTGTTTCCTTTTCTCCACATCCTCGCCAACACTTGTTTGTTGATTTTTTGATTATAGCCATTCTGACAGGTGTGAGGTGATATTATTTTGATGTAGTCCCATTTGCTTATTTTCTTAGTTTCCTTTGCCCTAGGAGATATATTGGCAAAAATTCCACTACTGCCTGTTTTCTCCTAAGATTTTTATGGTTTCGTGCCTTACATTTAACTCTTTTATCCATTTTGAGTTTATTCTTATGTATGGTGTAAGTTTGTGTTCTAGTTTCATCTTTTTGCATGTGTCTCTCCAGTTCTCCCAACACCATTTGTTGAAGAGACTGTCTTTACTCCTTTGTATGATCTTGCCTCCTTGGTCATATATTAATTGACCATAATGGTGTGGGTCAATTTCTTGGGTCTCTGTTACAATCCATTGTCTATATGCCTATTCTTCTGCCAGTACCAGGTTGCTTTACTGATAATGACTTTGTAGCATAGTTTGATATCCAACTTTGTTCTTCTTGCTCAAGATTCTGCAGCTATTTGGGGTCTTTTATGGTTCCATATAAATTTTTGGAGTATTTTTTTCTAGTTATGTGAAGTATGCTGTTGGTATTTAATAGGGATTGTGTTGAATTTATAGATTACTTTGGGTAGTATAGACATTTTAATTATATTAATGCTTCCAATCCATGAACATGGTATACACTTCCATTTGTTTGTATCTTCCTCTAGTTTCTTTTTCAATGTCCTATAGTTTTCCTAATCCAGGTCTTTTACCTCCTTGGTTAAGTTTATTCCTAGGTATCTTTTTGTTGTTGTTACAATGGTAAATGGGATTTTTTTTTTTTAGTTTCCCTTGTGTTCAATTTAATTAACTCAAATTTTTCAATAGACACATTTCAATTTTTTTCTAAATATTCTTTAAGTATAATTTCAGAGGACTTTAAAAAATACTTAAAATTTCCCAAACTATCACTTTCAACTTACCAAGTTATAAATTCCTAACAGAAGTGCTTCAATGCAACCATTACTCTGTCTGTCTCGGCTAACTGTAAGCCGTAAATAAACCCACATCAATTCTGGCAAGAACTGCAGCGTGAACCTCTTAAGTCGAACTTCAGAGCTACGATAGAGCTCAAACAGCTGGTGGCAGACAGGTTCCAGGAGCTAAAAGGAAAATAAAGTGCATTAGTTATTTCCATTATTTTGGATATAACTGGATTTTTTTAAAGGCACGTATACTTATATCTTATTTTTAAACTAAATTCTTAACATAATTCTTGCATATTTTGAATCAATACAACCAAAATCTTAATCTCTATGTAGAGAGATAACATATTAAACTGGCCAATATACTAACTATAAGTAGTACTTTGTGGCCCTATAATGTCAACATAACTTTTAATACACTGTACTACTTAATTTAGTTCAGTGGTTCTCAGCCTGTGGGTCGCAACCCCTTTGGCAGTCAAACAAGCCTTTCACAGGGGTCGCCTAAGACCATCCTGCATATCAGATATTTACATTACGATTCATAACAGTAGCAACATTACAGTTATGAAGTAGCAACGAAAATAATTTTATGGTTGGGTCACAACATGAGGAACTGTATTTAAAGGGCCAGAGGGTTGAGAATCACTGATTTAGTTTTTTAACCAATGTACCAACTTATATTAACAAATTTCCTTTTCTGTTCTTAACAACCCTTAGTATCCTCCATTTTAAAAAAGTTTCTACTGAAAGAAAATAATCTCAAATGATCTTGTTGAAAGTTAAATATTAATTTCAGACTATGATTTAAATAAATTATATACCACTCAGTAGAGAAAGGAATTTTGCAATATGTAATATTTGGACATCCAAAATGCTGGTATTTTAAATTAATGCTAGCTAATAAGAGATTGATAAATTCTACTAATTATATTTATTTGAAATATTTTAAAAGGAGGAAATTCTACAGAAATATTTTTTCCAATATTTAATTGGATAATTCTTCATAAGATATCACATAATCTGACTTACAAGGAACTTTATGACCCTGAAAACTGAAGAAAATGAGCAGTTTAAATAAATCTTCCCCTTTTCCCTAAGCATGTACTGCCAATTTAGAATGTTTTCTTTGGAATAACTGCAGACTAAATAAAAACTATGATTTTAAAATGCAGACAAACACTGACAGGAAACTATAATGTTTAAAATTTAACACTAGTTTAATCAAACATTCTAGAATAAAGCCACTATTTTCACAAGGTAAATTAAAAGTCAACTTATCCTATGTTGATTGTACACATATTTAGATGAGTTAAACTTAGCTCTTAAGGAACAACTAAAGCTAAAAAAATTTATGCACACACATCCTAGTCTAGTAAGCCCTTTATGTGAAATCACTATCATTGTATTTGAAATCTTATAAACCAGTCCAACTTTCTCATACTGAATCTAGATCAAACGATTTGCCCAGGGACATAGAATTTAGTGGTGTAGGAAGACTCTAGAATTCAGGTCTTCCGACACCCGGTTGATGTTCCCATTATACCACATTCCTTATATTTCAGCAAAGATGGAGTAGGAGGTGAGAGTTGTTTAATTACAAATAGTATATTCCACATAGTACCAATAAGAAATATACTTTTGAAGATAGTCAATTGTTGGCATCTTTATTTTGTTGGCATCTTTTAAAAATGCTAACAATAATATTCAGGTCTTTCGGGAAATTAAAGATTATTGCTCCTATAAATTTATTACACACACACACCCACACACAAGGTTTTTATTTTTATAAGTTTATTTGAACCAAACCATATGCTGGGGAGCAAGATTTTAAATACTCCCTAAATATCCTATATAATAAAAGCCTAATATGCTAAGTGTCTGGTCATCTGGTTGTCCATTCAACCAAAGTGTAATATGCTAATGATATGCTAAAGTCGCTCAATCTCTCACTATGACATGCACTGACCACCAGGGGGCAGACTCTTCAACCGGTAAGTTATCTTGCTGCTGGGGTCTGGGTGATTGGGATTGAGATGGGCCAGACATGCCCTGGAGCCCTCCTGCCGTCCCTCCTTGGCTGGCCAACCTCCCACATCCCTCCCCGGCCCTGACAGTGCACCAGTGGGGTACCTCACCCTGGCCTGTGCCCTCTCGCAATCTGGACTGAGGGACCTGCCCCTCCGCCACTCATATATATATATAGACACATACACACACACTAGAAGCCCGGTGTACGAAATTTGTGCACTTGGGGGGTGGGGGTGGGGGAATCCCTCAGCCCGCCTGTACCCTCTCGCAGTCCAGGACCCCTCAGGGGACATCCGCCTGGGATTGGGCCTAAGCCAGCAGTTGGACATCCTTCTCGCAATCCAGGATCTCTCGCTCCTTACCACCCACATGCGCACTCCTTACCGCTTGGCTCGCTGCTTTTTAGTGCTGCTGCAGAGGCAGGAGAGGCAAGCCTGGCTTCTGGTTGAGTGGCCCCTCCCGCTGTGGGAGCGCACTGACCACCAGGGGGGAGCTCCTGTGTTGAGCGTCTGCCCTTGGTGGTCAGTGCGCATAATAGCAACTGGTTGTTCTGGTGATTCCGCTGTAACGGTCGCTTAGGCTTTTATTACATAGACATCTTTTAAATCTACTTTCCTTCTTAGTAAAGGTCCTAAAATTACCTTCTCTAATTTTTTTTAACCTTCTCTAAATGTTATTGTCCACGGAACAATATTATGATTTATTTTAGAAAGATCTTAACTTCCTTCCTCAGTAGCAAAAACTACATGTAGGAGACTATATTTTAATTAAGCATTACAAAGAAATACAGACTGAGGAAAATTATTATTCTGTTTTTTTTTTAAAGTCGGAGGAAGAGTGGCTGGAAATCCAGTAACTTTTAATCAGATACCATGGCAAAATAAGACTTAAAAACTTGCCAATGCTATCTGTTAAAAATCTTTAATTCCAAGTATATGTATTAGGCCATTGTGTTCTCAGTTTCTCAGTATTATACATGACTCTGACCTTTCCTAAATGAAACTATCACCCACATCAAAAGGTGTTAAAAGTCATTTTCTTCTGGTTAAAAAAAAAAAGCTTAAGAATAACTGACACATTCCCCAAATTTAGCCAACAGTTTGATAAAATAGTTACTAAGAGACATGCTCTCTGATGATCACACTGAGACAATCTGGCTGGAATAATGGACACTGAAGCCCAATTTAGGTTAAAGAGAGAATGTGAGGTGAGGAAAAGGGGTAAAATAGAAAGAAGTTATAGTTAAGGTTCATCTGTGAAAAGAGACAACAAAATGGGGTAGGTAATAAAGAAGCTAGTCAAATAAGGTTTTTAAAAACTAGAATATGATTCTTTCTTTGCCATACTCCATTCATCAGGAAAGAGAAGAGATCATTAAAAGGAGCAATCTTTGAGATGGCTAGGGAAGATGGGATCCAGGCCTATGTGAAAGAGATGGCCTTTTATACACTAGGATACTTCACCTACTGAATAGCAGGAAAGGCAGGAGAGGATGGGTAGGGATGCTGGTATATTTGAATGGGAAAATAAGAGAGCTCCCAACTACTTTCCTATTCTTTTTTAATGACATAAAAAGCAAGCTGAAAATATGGAGTAAGGAGGGTAAGAATATGAGAAAAGAAGCGTAAAATGAGCAGTTAACAGTGTACCAAGAAGTAAGACTGTAAGAGATTTTTAGTTTTGGATTTAAAGTGCAGAAAGATGGAGGTCTCCATGAAGTAGAAGAACTGCAAGAGTGACTAAGGTATCTAGAAGGAGGGAAATGAGAAAAGTAAAGCAATATGTTGGTGTAGAGATTAATGTTCTATATATTAATGATTCTACAGAGCTTACTGTTCTGTTTTTCTTAAGTATGAACACATAGTTAGAACCTTATGATCTGACAGGAGAAAAGAATGGACAGACCTGCTCTGTCAACTGGTTGATTATGCTGACAGCTGGGCCTTGACCTTGAATCTCTAAAGTTGTAATTTTTCCATTTGTAGCCATGACAACGTCTGACACGTTAATAGATTGAAGTATCACAATATAAAATAATATGAATAACTTTTTTTTCTTTTTATTTATTGAATAACTTTTTTTAATGTCATAGCTTCCACGTATAACTGAATCAAGAAAACTAATACTTTTTTTTTTTTAAATCCTCACCCGAGGATGTGATTTTATTGATTTTGGTTTAGACCAAAATTTAGAGAGAGGAAGGTGGTGGGGAGAAAGAGGGAGAGAGAGAGAGAAAAAAACATTGACCAGTTACCTCACATCTGAGCCCCTACCAGGAATCAAACCCCAAACCTAGGCATGTGCCCGCCACCTGTTTGGTATAGGAATCAAGCCCGCCACCTGTTTGGTATAGGAGACAGTGCTCTAACCAGAGAATGTGAATCCCAATAAAAATGACAGCATTTTAGAATCTCATTTTGTATTTCACTATTCTTCTAATTAATATTTATTAAGTGTTCATTATATACATGATAAAATACTAGATTCTATGAAGTAACAAATATAGAATATATGACTACTGCCCATGAAGAGCTTACAATCTAAAGAGAAAGCATAAAACAAATTTTAATAAGCAAAGCTTAAATGTTAAGACAGTGCAAAACAGAGGGTGGGGAATACACACATTCATTATTCAAACAGAATTTTGAAAATGCCTGACCAAGGATATGCATATGTGTACATTACCACACCTTAAGTTATAAACATTCATAAATACACAGCAAGAGAAAAAGAAGCAAATGAATCCTGTAACTGCTGCTACACAAGGTAACAGATGCAAGTCTAACTGAGAGCCAATCCAAGTTTAGGAGACAGGAAAGAAAGAGGTCAATAAGCAAGCTTTTAGTGACTGGACAAAAATGAAGATGCGCTTTAAGTTAAGCTGCTGGTTAGGAGATGATTACCTGAACTTCTTCAAACTCACTCCAGTACACAGCAGAGGCACTCGTGGAGGCTGTATCTGGGAAGATAAGAAGCTACTTTCCTGTGTGTTCCTTTCATTTTCACTTTAAAACATACATGAGTCCCGTGGTGATAAAACTGTATGTCATAACTATTGTGTTAATGAAAAGATAATGTGTGTATTTTGCATAAATTAACCAATAGATTCAATAGCTGAATTTTTTTCCTTTTATGACAAACTGAATAAAAGAAAACTCTAATTCTAAGTTTATTAATCTTGACTATGTAGGCTAAAAAGTGCTTTCTCTGATAATTTTCAAACTAAATTTACTAGCAGTATCATTTTATGTTACCAGTCTAAGTTCACTGATTAGGGTGATTATACATAGTTCTATATTGTCAATAAAATAACTGCGAAGAATACTTAAAATAAAATAAATAAATCTCAATCCGTGGATGGATAAAATTTGGCTTCCAGAAAAGGAAACATTCCAGAAAAGGAAGCAAAGGAAAGTTTCAAATTAAATAAATAATCTGCAAAAACAATGGTCAGATGAAGAATCAAAATATACTGTCCTCAGCAGTAACCAATTTGATCAAAACATTTAGAAATATGGAGAGAGAGGGCATGAGGAAAGCCAAAGCAACTATAAGAATGAAAAATAGCAGAAAAAGTTTTCCAGTCTCTTAAGAATTAAAAAAAAAAAAGAGTAGGGAAAACTACAAAACTTAAATATATGTGCTTTAGCACACATATTTCATTTTATTATGTTGGAATTATTTTTCTTATAAACTCTCCTACCTCATTATTTGAATCTTGAATAACTTTGTAGAGGGCTGGTACCAATGTTTTTTTCCGGTGTAAAGTTGCTGCATAACTGGTGATCTGAGTGTCAGGTAATGCCTAAAAAAAAAAAATTAAAGGAAAACAAAAGTGAACTTAATATTTGGGAAGTTCAGAAACTTTATTTTAAAGGAGCTTCTCTTGAAAATATTTATGAGTCAATTAAGAAAAGAAATTAATATGAGAACCATGAATGTTAAAAAAACAAATACAGTGGGGCCTTGACTTACCAGTGTCCCGATTAACAAGTTTTTTGAGATATCAGCTGTCTCTCGGCCGATTTTTTGCATTGAGTTGATAGAGTAATTTGAGGTAACGAGCTCAGTCTCGGAACAAATTAAACTCGTAAGTCAAGGCCCCACTGTAGTTATAATATACAGGGTGAGGCAAAAGAAGGTGTACAGTTGTGAGTACTCAAAACACAGTTTATTCTTGTATTATTAATTAATGATTGTACTATTTACTTTCATTACAACTGTAAAACAACTTTTGCCCCACCCTGAATAATTCTAACCATCCTATCTAATAAAAGAGAAACATGGTAATTAGCCGTACCTCCGCTACCCTTCCCATTGGCTAATCAGGGCAATATGCAAATTAACTGCCAGCCAAGATGGCGGTCGACAGCCAGGCAGCCGGAAGCAAACATGAGGCTTGCTTGCTTCAGTGACGGAGGACTCCAACGTTCCCCGCCTGCCGCTGCCGGCCTCTGAGCTTGCAGTCTGAAACATTGTTACAAATATAGAAGCGAAACAAAACCCCAGAAACCTGCTTTCAGCCAGCCGGGATCTCAGAACTGGAGTTGAAACAGGGTTTCGATTATAGAACCCAAACAAACCAGATACCTGCTTTCAGCAGCCAAGGCCTAAGAGCTGGAGACAAGCCTCAGAGCTAAAGCTGGCCCAGAATTAAAAAAAAAAGAAAAAAAGGAGCAGTTGGGAGCTTCAGTCACCCGCCAGCCTGAAAACAGCCCTCAGCCCCTCACCCAGACTGGCCAGGCACCCCAGTGGGGACCCCCACCCTGAAGGGTGTGTGACCAGCTGCAAACAGCCATCAGCCCCTCACCCAGGCTGGCCAGGCACCCCAGTGGGGAACCCCAACCTGATCCAGGACACCGTTCAGGGCAAACCAGCCGGCCCCCACCCATGCACCGGGCCTCTATCCTATATAGTAAAAGGGTAATATGCCTCCCAGCACCGGGATCAGCATGACAGGGGGCAGCGCCCAAACCCCCTGATCGCCCTGCGGCTCTGTGTGTGACAGGGTGCGGCGCCCCAACCCCCTGATTGGCCCTGCTCTGTATGTGATAGGGTGCAGCGCCCCAAACTCCCCCA